CCCATGCAAGGCTCAATCTCAGGACCCGTGAGATCCTGACCTAAGCTGAAAGTAAGAAACTAACGCTTAACCAACTGAGCTACCCAGTGCCCCTCATTGTTATCTTTTGAACTATATTCAATTTGCTTTCAAATAATTGATACTCATGCCTCCTTAAAATGTAATAATGTGATTGGTTATGCAATAAGCATGTGAACCCCAAAATTTATGCTACAGATTGGAATTTTATTAGATGATGTTCTTTCAGTTTTCTTGTATATTCTGGAGTTGGCAGCTTCTTGTATAAATTAGTTTTTGCTTTTCTTTGACATAATGACAGCTCCTTTTTCCCCTCCCCCCAAATTAAAATTAATTATACTCTTTCAAAGAGTTCTCTTATTACCTTTCATTTTTGACTGACATCCAACTTACTGTAGTCCTCAAGAAATCAATGAATATATTAATTGGAATTAGACTTGGCACCTGTCTCTAAGGAACTCAATAGTTCTTTGTAGCCTTAGATGGAATTTTTAATAACTTCAAAAGAGATTTTTTTAAAAACCAACTGTGTATTCTGAAGTCATTGTTTAAACCCATGTTTTGAATTTCCAGATAGAGAAAAAGGGTAGGATAAGACAAATCTGACCAGAATTAAAAGCATCAAAACATTTATAAAAACCTAACAAGCTAGTGATTGTAATAAAAATTAAACAACTAGTTTAAGTAATATCTTATAAACACAAAAGAACAGTGTATTTCTTCTCAGGTATAAGACTCAATTTGAGAGGCAAAAGAGCTAAGAAAAGATGGTGCTAAAGAAGGTAAGACTATAGATATTCAAGAAATTTGGTCTCTCTCTTTTTTTTTAAAGGTTTTATTTATTCATGAGAGACACACAGAGAGAAGCAGAGGGAGAAGCAGGCTCCCCACAGGGAGCCTGATGTAGGACTTGATCCCCAGACCCAGGATCATGCCTTGAGCCAAACGCAGACACTCTACCACTGAGCCACCCAGGCGTCCCAGTCTTTTTCTGTTCTTAAAATTTAGAACACTTTGTTTTTCTTTACAGTTCCAAATAAGTCAGGCAAAGAAATCTCAACTCAGACTAAAACTAATAATAATCAAGTAAAGAATAAAAGTTACTTCAGTCTGAAAGATTGAGTTGGAATTCTTGCTCTTACCATTTGATAGCTCTGTGACTTTTCTCTTTTTGAGTTTCAGTTTCTACATCTGTAACATGGGTATAATACCACTAAACACAATAGGGTTGGCAGGATTTAGAATAATGGCATGTAATATTCATAAGTTGCTTGGCTCATAATAGGCACTCAATAAATGTTTATGGACTTTCTTCTCCCCTCTTCTCTGATCCTTCTGGAAATTAAATTTGACCAATATATAGTGTTCTCTTCACTCTCAAAACTACTGTAGTGAGAAAAAGAAATAATTAAATGGAGGGGCGCTTGTGTGGCCCAGTCTGTTGAGTGTCCAACTCTTCGTTTCAGCTCAGGTCATGATATCAGGCCCTGTGTCAGGCTCCATGCTCAGCATGGAGTCTGCTTAAGACTCTCTTTCCCTCTTCCTTTGCCCCTCCCTCCTAAAATAAATAAGTAAATCTTAAAAACAACAACAATAAAAGAGAAACAACTAAATGAAATAATAAATCTGAAATTTTAAACTAAATAAGTGATGAAATAAAACTAGTATGAGGTAAATAGAAAGAATGATGGAATTATAAAAATCCACATGAAAGTTAAGATACTATTAATCATTTCCATTTTCCTCTTGGCTATGACGGTAAGATTATGTTTCATATTCAGTGAGGGGAGAAATTACCCAAGCTTTGAGATGTAAAGTCAGAAGTGTTTCATAAAAAAAAAAAAATCTGCTTCCATTTTCTAGAAGTTTTATAAAAAGAAAAGTATTTCAACAAAGGACCTTTCAGTCATTCATTTGAGATGACCTGTTTAAGTGCATAGTATATGCCAACTGCCATACTAAATGGCAGAGGATATAAAGAGAAGATGAAAGAAAGAATACTTACTAAAGGTATGTACAGGTGAGGTGGCATCAGACATATACCACTGTGTTAGTTTGCTAGCGATGCCATAACAAAATACCACCAGCTGGGTGACAACAGATTTATTTTTTCACAATTCTGGAGGCTGCAAGTTTAAGATCAAAGTACCGGCAGAGCAGGGTTCCTCTGAGGCTTCTTTTCTTGGCTTCCTATTGGCTACCCTCTTGCTGTCTCTTCATGTGGTTGTCCCTCTGTGTATGGGCACCTTTCCTTTTCTTACAAAGTCGCCAGTAGGCCTGGATTAGGCCCACTCTAATGGCCTCATTTAACTTAATCACCTCTTTAAGGAATGTATTTCCAAATATGGTCAGATATTCAGGTACTGGGGGTAAGGGCTTCAAAATAAGAATTCTGGGGGGTACAAAATTCAGCCCATAGGAAACATGACTCACTTAACCATTGCCCTGTTTTACAAATGAGGAGCGAGGCTTGTCTACAAGAGTAAATAACTCAATAAATGTCACATAATAAGTTGTGGAAGAAAAATTTTAACTTAGATCTCATTATGAGAGCATCAAAGGTATGTTCTTTCTTCTATTCACATCTCAAAGAATTACAAATCTAACTGGAAAGACAAAGTTGATTGATTCGTGACACTTAAATATGGGATTTATTGATAAGGAGACACTTATTCACTGGACTTGTACCATTACATGGAAAGAATGGATTCCAGATTAATAAACATTTATAGGATATTTAATACATGTTAGGCTGGGCTCTTTAACAAAAGAGTCTTACATGAGGATTGAGGATTTGCTAATTGGCAAACAGGAGTAGTCCTGGTAGTCTTGGACCAAAGCCTGTAGATGATTCTAAGTCAAAGTCAAATACAAAAGAACTTTCTGTAGTAAGTATCTTAGATACGACTGTCTTTCACATCTTTTTTTTTTCCCTCCTGCATTTGGGTGTAGGCTATGTGCAGGTACATATGTATGAAATCCCTAATCTGCCTTATAATATTCTATTTCATTGGTAATTTTTGGGGGCTTTCTGCTCTATAGCCTCTCAGACTGAAAGACAAAAAAAAGTCCCATGCCCTGTCTCTTGAGACTCCCATTTGTGTGTCCAGGAATGAGTGTCAGGCTAGATTGTGGTCAGGCTGGCACCTGCTCCATGCCCCAGATGCCTACATATTGTTTAAAGTTTGTTAAAAGTACCATTCCCTTTATTCTCTGACTGTACTTTATGGATCTTTACTCTGTGTTTAATTGTAATTATATAATTAATTAGTTAAGTAATTTACATTCCCAGATTATGTTATAAAATTTCCAAAGACCATTCCTGCTATGTATAGTGGGACCAAGGCATATGTCTAGAATCCCAGTACATACCAATTCTTACACAAAAGTTAGTAGACTCTTGAAAGCAGGAAATAAAACTCCAATGTGAAAGATGTCCTTCCTATACCAGTAGGAAATAAATGAAGACAGGCAATTATAGAAAAGTAACTAAAATATATGGAGAGACCAAAGGAAGATAAGAATTATTTAACTTTGGTCTGTTTGTATAGATTACTCTCAACTTTGACTGCCCTTCTCTGGGGATAATAATGCAAAGCTTCATAAAGATAAGTTGCCTGCCTTTGTTCAACTGAGTATATAAACTCTCTTAAGCCTAACCACTTCTTTGGGTTTTTCATTTTCCTAGGGGGTTCCCATGTATGTGTAAAAATTTATATCCTTTTCTCCTAGTAATCTATCTTATGTCAGGTTGATTCTCAGCCCCAGCCAGAGACTCCTGGGAGGGTAAAGTTTTGCTTTTCATGCTATATATATGTGTGTACACACACACATATACATATATACACATACATAAATATAAATAGCACTTACCATTTAGTATAGGGGCCAAGAACTGACCTCTAGAAAGCTGAATTGTGTAGATCTATTGTTTTTTTGAGGTAAATTCTTTGAGTATCAATTACACCATTTTCAAAAAACAAGTACAAAAGCACATTTTCAAAGTTTGATCTGATTTTTAGTATTATCCATACTTCTTCCTTCCTAGAGTATGAACAGCCAATAGTGCTCTTATCAATAATGGGAATTCAGTTGTCACTTTTCAAACTGTCTCAGTTGAGTTAAGTGGGTGGAAGCGGTGGGAGTAGCTTATCAGAATTTTGAAAAACAAAGGAGTGCTTTTCTTTAATACTTGAATGTGTTTTTAGTCATAGTAATTTAATGTTTTCAAATTTCAAATAATATTAAATATTTTCTAAAAAAAAGAAATTGAGAAACACGAATGTAAAGGAATTTTTAAAAATCTTAAGAAACAAGATTTCATTTTTTCAGAAAACAAAGTGCATTAGAAGGCATTTAATGAATGTTTTGAATTGAACAGACTTTGTAGCCAATTAACCCAAAACACACTTAATTCACTAAATAAACACATAGAGAAAGGTAATGCTCTTACAGAGCTGTGTCCAGGAACTGAATAGCATGATGGTCTAAACTATAACTGGGAAAGTAATTTCTCCAAACACAGTATGACATTTTTGCAACGCTGAACATATATATTTTTATTCTGACATTTTTGTTTCCAGCTGTTTCCACCTTTGTAAACTATCAAAGGAAGCTCTGCTTATTATCCCTCCTCATCTCTACCTCCTGGTGCCTTTTACAAAATAAACATAAAACTGGGGATACATGCTCAGGTTGAGAACTGCTCTGACCCCTGAATTTTCTTTCCCTCAAGCTGAGTATACAAAGACAGCTAAGAATTTCAATTTAGACTTTTTTGGTTTTCAGTCCCAAAACCACCTATTCCAAACCTCTTCATAGAACATAGTATTTCCTATCTGCTGTCAGGTTCAAACCAATCAGTTCTCACAGCTGGAGACAGATTGAAAGAGTGTCTATATACAGCCCCTCCCAACTCAGTGGCTCTAAGTGCTTATGTGCTGGACGGTGCCCTGATCTCTTCAAGTCCAAGGAATACCTACCTCTAATTTCAGAACATCATGCTGAAGTTTACGCTGAAATTCAAGGAAGTTTTTGATCGTCAGCTTCCCCTTAAGATCAGCTCCAAAGAAGTAGGTTGTGAGGGCTGAACACAAGCCAGACTTTAGAGTGTTACCAGTAGTAGGACGATCTCTGTGACGCATACCCATACTGGTTTGGGAGCGAATGATGCTCTGAACCTAGAAGAGAAGCAAATCCCCATCCAGAAAAACATTACAAAGTACAAAAACATATGAAAGTAAGATCAATAACTATTATTTATTTGCCTACACTATTCTACAATTCTCTTTTAATGCTCACAATCCTATTAAGTCCTAAGATTATCCTCATTTTACAGATGAGGAATTTGAGGCACATAGTGTTTAATAACTTGTTCAAGGTCAAGTAGCTAGCAAGTAGTGGAACCATGATTCTAATACAGATGACTGAGATCTTTATAACTGAGATACTTTTAAAAATTTCTCTTCAGAAAAGAGCATACGTTTCTGAGCTTCAAAACCTCTCACAAAACACTAAAATAACGATCAACTTCACAGTAATACATTCCATATTGCAGGAGACTTAAAAACTTCATACTTCTCACTACTGACTCTAGTTATGATAAGAAGCAGCATAGCTATAGGCAAATAGTGACACCTAAGAGAGATAACACATTTATTAGAATGATAAATGAAATACAAAGTTGGTACAAAATAATTTCCCAAGAAAAGCTGGGGAATTAGTTTAATCCTTGAGATTTTTTAAAAGATTTATTTATTCGAGAGAGAGAGCATGCATGCGAGTAGGGGGAGAGGAGGAAGGAGAGGCAAAGAGAGAATCTCAAGCAGACTCCCTGCTGAACGCAGAGACCCACACCTGGCTTGATCCCATGACCCATTACATCGTGACCTGAGCCAAAATGAAAATTGGATGCTTAACCGACTGACTACCTAGGTACCAGCTTTGAGAAGTTTTAAATGAGCTTTTTTGAGAAAGGATAAGGTTTGGAACTAGCAACCCTGGCCTAACTATATAAATGAGCTTTTTGAAGCAAGTCTATGATTGTTGTAGCTTTTGTTTTATATTTTTTTTTACTAGTTCCTGCATCTTTTCTACCTCTTTATACAAGCTAAAACAGCAACTATTCAGAATTATTAAAATTGGGATATGTAAAGATAAATAATAAGGGTGTGTTATATAAATAAACAATACATACAGCTTTGTGGCTGATTTTTTTAAATTGCCAAATTAGAAAAGCCTAACACTTAAAACTTGAGAGTTGAAACAACAGATTTACCTTAGTTAAATGTCTCATGTATTTTATTCATTATTTGTGACCATAAAGAAGATTTAAGTTAAGTGGCTGTATAAACAGTGGAGTAGTATAATGGAAAGACATGAGATAAGGAATTAGGAGACATGGGGTCTGCTTCTGCAGTTCTGAGAGAGAATTTATGAGAGCAGAATTTTGCAGGTCATTAAAACTCTTTGGGCCTTACCTGTCTCACTGGAAAAGTCAGTTAGAGTCTATTATCTCTATGTCTTCAAATCTAGGTTAGTATCATACGTGGTTTTGGTATGATTTCTTGGGTTGAAGGTTTTTAGACTTTAAATTGAATACAGGATAATCAGAACATTTTTTGTTATTATTTTGAAGGCAATACATAAGTCATTTTATCTGCCTGATTCTGAGTACTGAAGAATTTTCCAACAGCAGTGATGAACCAGTATTGAGAACCTGCAATGATTTAAATTTTGCCTGTGGCTGTAATATTGCAGCTTATACTCTTCCTATGGGAGAAACTTCAAGAGTGTGGTGCTGAGAATGTGTTTGTAAGTGACTGGGAAAAAGGAGTTTAGGAAAAATTGACTAACTAATGCTATATCATCTTCATTAATGATTAATAGTAGCGTAGTCTAAATACTATCCCATTATATATAAACTACTATTTATAATGAGCATTCTTTAAAAACTTTTTAAGATTTTATTTATTTCTTCATGAGAGAGAGAGAGAGAGAGAGAGAGAGAGAGAGAGAGAGGGGCAGACACAGGTGGAGGGAGAAGCAGGCTCCATGTGGGGAGCCCAACATGGGACTTGATCCTGGGTCTCCGGGATCACGCCCTGGGCTGAAGGTGGCACTAAACCGCTGAGCCACCCGGGCTGCCCTAAAAACTTTTTTTTTTTAAAAAGGTATGGGGCAGCCCCGGTGGCGCAGCGGTTTAGCCCTGCCTGCAGCCCGGGGTCTGATCCTGGAGACCCAGGATCGAGTCCCGCGTTGGGCTCCCTGCATGGAGCCTGCTTCTCCCTCTGCCTGTGTCTCGGCCTCTCAGTCTCTCTCTGAATAAATAAATTAAAAATCTTTGAAAAAAAAATAAAAAAAAAATAGAAAAGGTATGTATCACTAGATTTTGTGTGCTTTCCACTGAACAGGGAGCTTGATGTGAGGTTTGATCCCAGGACCCAGGATCATGACCTGGGCCAGAAGCAGATGCTTAACTAATTGTTGCTTTGTGCAACATTAACTTCAAAATATGTGAGGTCCTCTTCTTGCTTCTGTTTAACTTTTTTAGAAGCTTGACAAATATAGTGTTAAGAAAATACCTGTTTACCTGGGAAATCAGTGCAAAATTTGAATGTTTGGAATCCTAGAGCATTCTCAACTTAATAAATTTTATTTCCCAAGAATGTAAAATACATAAGGATGAAGCAGAGAAACTTCTAAAGAGAGTCATTTGTTCACAAGGTACGTTATAATTATGTTTTGTTTTTGGTCTAAGAGTTTTTACATCAAGATTCCTAGTGACCAATATTAAGAAAGCTAGTTATTAAGGGATCACATTGGATGAAATAACACGCCCTTCTCTAACAAGTGAATGAATGATGAAGTGGCTGTTCCAAGTCATTCTGCATATCACCATCAATAACAGAAATAAGACAGATCTGCTCCATTTACTTGAGAAAGAGACCATGAGCAGAGGGAGGGGCAGAGGGAGAAGGACAAGCAGGCTCCCTGCTGAGCAAGAACCCCCCCACCCCACCCCCACCCCCACCACATGGGGCTTGATCCCAGGACTGTGAGATCATTACCTGAGCCCAAGTCAGATGCTTAATCAACTGAGCCACCTACACCCACCCAGGACCCATCTGCTCTAAATTCAAATATAGTGTTTAGTATCTGTAATAGGAGTAGGGAAGTTATGGCTATATTGCTTCTGAAAGGTTAAGTCCCACATTGTGTATATAAACTCTAATCAAATCCAGTTGAGCTAATTGCCTGCTAAAACAAAACACTAATACTCTTCAGATGAATATAACAAAATCTAAAGTCAACACATCATTTATAATATCTAGACAAAAATCCAAAATTACTTAACATATGAAGGAATGTGAAGATTTAGCTCATCTTCAAGAGAAAAAGGCAATTAATGGAGATCAATTCCAAGATTATCAAGATACTGCAAATTAGTAGACAAGAATTTTAAAAGTTAAATATTAATGGTCAGGAGCACAATATATGCTTATGAATGAGGAAAAATTAGGAAATTTCAGATGAGAAAGTAAACTGTATCAAAAATAAGATATAAGTTCTAGGGCAGCCCAGGTGGCTCAGCGGTTTAGCGCCACCTTCAGTCCAGGGCATGATCTTGGAGACCCGGGATTGAGTACCATGTCGGACTCCCTGCATGGAGCCTACTTCTCCCTCTGCCTGTGTGTCTTTGCCTCTCTCTCTCTCTCTCTCTCGAATAAATAAATAAAATCTTAAAAAAGTTCTAGAACTGAAAAATGCAATATCTGAAATAAAAATTTACTAGATAAGCTTAATAGCAGAATTGACCAAAGAAAGTCAGTGAATATGAAGATAAATCAATAAAAACTATACAGTTTGAATAGCAGAAAGGAAAAAAGATTGAAAAAAAAATAATAGAGCTTTAGAGATTTGTGATGCAATATCACATATGGTCTTAACATTTATATTACTGGAAGAGAGAGGTAAGAGAGAATGGGGCCAAAAAATTTTAAGACATAGTGGCCAGAAATTTCTCAAATTTGATAAAAATCATAAAAATTCAAATATATAAATAGTTCATCAAATACTAAAAAGGATAAATATAAAGAAAACCACAGTGAGGCACACTGTAATCAAATTTCTAGAAAACCAATTATAAAGAGAAAATCTAGAAAGCAGAGAGAGAAAACAACATATTGTAAATAGAGCACCAATGATTTAAATTGACAGATTTTTTTAATCAGAAGAAAACAGAAACAGTGAAACAACAACTGAGAATTTTACATCTACATCTAGAACTCTAAACCCAGAACTTCCTTCCCTAAATAATGGTGATATAAATTAATTCATCACCAACACATGTATCCTACAAAAAATGCAAAACAAAGTTTTTCTGGGGCACCTGGGTGGCATAGGGGGTTAAACATTGGACTCTTGGTTTTGGCTCAGGCCATTATCTCAGGGTCATGAAATGGAGCCCTGCATCAGGCTCCATGTTCAGTGTGGAGTCTGCTTAAGACTCTTTCTCCTCCTTTCTTTGCTCCTCTCCCCCATCTCTAGAGTAAATAAAATAAACCTTTGAAAAAAAGTTTTTCCAATTGAATGGAAATAATACCATATGGAAACCAGGATATTCAGGAAGGAATACAGGGCATCAGAATGGTAAATATAACAAACTATTTTTTCTCTTATTTTCTTTCAAAAATAAGACTGTTAAAGCAAAAATTACAAAAATTATTATGAGGCTTATAATGTCTGTAGATATAATACACAGAACAACTATAGCATAAAGGATGGAGAAGAGGCAAATAAAACTTTAGGTTGCAAAGTTTCTACATTTTTATTTATTTATTTGAGAAAGAGAGAGTGAGTGAGCAGGAGGAAGGGCAAAGGGAGAGGGAGAGAGAATCTCAAGAAGACCCCATGCTAGGTGCAGAGCTCAACACAGAACCTGATCTCGCCACCCTGAGATCATAATCTGAGTTGAAACCAAGAGGTGGATGCTTAACCGACTGCAACATCCAGGTACTCCAGCAAAGTTTCTACCTTTCATGTGAATACTAATTTTAAGTAGATTATGTATATTTAAGAATCTATGTTGTACTCCCTAGAGCAACCACTATAAAAATAGTGCAAAAAGGTACAGCTAAAATTCTAGATAAACCAGAGTTCTTGGAAAAATATTTAATCTCAAAAAAGGGAGGAACAAAAATCTAAAAGAACAAACAGAAAACAAACGGCAAAAATGTTGGTCTAATTCCAATTAGATTATATATAAATTACATATATCATTGATAAATTGCATACATACATCATACATTATTGATAAATTATGTAACTAGTAATTATATTAAATGTTAATGGATTAAGTACTGCAATTAAAAGGCAAAGACTGAATAGATTAAAAAAAAGAACAAGACCTAACTAATGCTATTTATAAAAGATGCACTTTAAATATAAGGACACAGCTATATTTAAAGTATGGATGCAAAAAAGACATACATGCAAATAGTAGCATAGCTGGAGTTGCTATATTAAAATCACACAAAATAGATTTTAAGATAGAGTATTACCAAAGATAAAGAGTGACATATCATAATTATAACAGGATTGATTCATGAGAAAAACCTAACAATCAAAAATGTACAGAGAATGTCAAAATACATAAAGCTAAAATCAACATAATTAAGGAGAAACAAATAACTGCATAGTTATAGTTGGAGATTTTAACAACTGCATCTCAAAAAACTGCTAGAATGACTATGTTAAAGAAAATCAGTAAGGACAAACAATATCTGAACAACACTGTCAACCAACTTGACTGAATTGACATTTAAAGATTTATGGGGCACCTGGGTGGCTCATTTGGTTAAGTGGCAGCCTTTGGCTCAGGTCATGATCTCAGAGTCTTGGCATCAAGCCCCCCATCTCCCTCTCCCCCTGCCTGCCACCCTCCCTGCTTGTGCTCTCTCTCTCTCTCTGTCAAATAGATAAATAAAATAGTTTGTTAAAAATATTTTATTTATCTATTTGACAGAGAGAGGGAGAGAGAGCATGCACTCGAGTGTGAGCAGGTAAGGGAAAAGCAAACTCCCTGCCGAGCAGGAAGTCAGATGTGGGACTTTGGATCATGACCTGAGGACAGACGCTCAACTGACTGAGCCACCCAGATGCTAGACAGAATTGACATTTATAAAATGTCATACTCAATAACTGCAGAATACACGTTCTTTAAGAAGCCACATTGATGCTTATCAAGATAGATCAAATGCAGTTCCATAAAACGAGGCTCAATACATTTAAAATAAGGATTAAATCATGCACAGTATGTTTTCTAAGCACAATGTAATTAAATTAGATATCAGTAGCAGTAAGATAAGTAAAAGAACAAACCTCAAAGCTTGGAAATTAAACAATATACTTTTTTAAAAAAGATTTTATTTATTTATTTGACAGAGAGCAGAGGAACAGCAGGCTTTTAAGCAATTGAGGGATCAAAAAAGAGACTGTGAAATAGAAAATATTTCAAACTGAATAATAATGAAAATACAAACATATCAAATTTTGTAGGATGTGAATTTCTTATTTAAAGATATTTGTTCCTCATACTTTCTCCCACGTACATATATGTATATATATTTTGTTTGTTTCGGTTTGTTTTATTTTGAAGTCATTTTGACAATCATAGTAATTGTATCTAGAGAAGTATTATGGCCCATCAATGAGAGAAATTTTATGGAAATGTAATCTCTTCCTAGTACTCATCAAAAACTGTATATATCTATAGCTTGGACCTGCTACATGGTCAAAGGCATGGTACCATTTTTCCTTTTCTTACAGAAATCCTTTCAGAACATATGTCATTCATCTTTATATTCTGGAATTACTGGCACAAAGGAACTGTTTAATAAAAATTGACTAAACACATGATGATGAATTTCATCTCAGCATCACAGTCTAATCCATATTGGGGAACTGGAACAACTTTGACCTTAATCATATGCTCAAATAACTCCTTACACTTAGAGTAAAAAAATAAATAAATAAAACCCACTTGTTAAAAGTGCAGAAATGACACATTAAGTATTTCAAAAATTGGACAGCACCTGAGTATGCTGACCAAGACCAAAATAACTCCAAGTCACATGAAAATGTATTAAATATTAATGTACTTAAAGGAACTTTCTAGGATAACTTGCCTGTTCAAACTCTTCCATGTCTACTTCTCCATCTCCATTCAAGTCAAACATCTTGAAGGCAATTTCAAAATTTCTCTGAGGAGCTGCAAGTAGAAAGGAAGGAAAGGATGAGAGGGAAGGAGAAGGAGAGGGAAGGAGAAGAAGAGAGGGAAGAGAGAAAAATATTTAGAAGGCATTGACTAAAAATTAAAAAATCACTCCTTTAAGAAAAACAGATGGTTAAACACTAAAATGTAATATCAAGTCACAGAATGCTACCATACTTACCTAGATCAATCTTGCAGCAGTACTCCTTAAAACTGAAAGACAAACTTGACTACGGCCAGTAAAGACAGAACTTGTCTCTTGAGTTTCACCATTAATCTCCTAGATATGTCAGCTTTGCTTTCTTAGAAGCCATCCTCTTAACTGTATCATATTAAAGTTGCTCTGTTACTTAAATATAGTATTTTTTATCTGGGCATGAAAGTCTGCTTATAAGTAGAGGCTTAGAACATAAGAGGCTGAAACTCTAAGTCTTTGTCTTGCCTTTTAAAAACCAGCTAGATTTTGGGGCACCTGTATGGCTCAGTTGGCTGAGCATCTGGCTCCTGGCTCCAGCTCAGGTCGTGATTTCTAGGTTGTGGGATTTGGTGACATTTGGCTCCACACTCAGCAGGGATTCTGCTTCTTACTCTCCCTCTGCCCCTTCCCCTGCTCATGCATGTGTGCCTGCTCGCTCTCTTTCTTTCTAAAACAAATAAAGAGATGTTAAAAAAAAAAAAAGCTAGATTTCTACTTTGGTCTTCTAGTCTTTCCATTTGAAGTGTAATCAGGAGTTCAGTAGATGTCATTCAGCCGTTAGGTTATTATCTATAGGCAGAAGAGGATACTACTCAACCTCCTATTTCAACCATGTCAGCTGGGTACACAAATTACTGAGCAAAGTATATGTAAATACTAAAATAAAGCTGAAGTTTAAAAAACAAAGTGAAAAATGCAAAGCTTAAGAAGATAAGGGCATGTATTTTCTTTCCCTTAATTGAATGGTAAAAGCTCAAGACATTTTAATGTTCCTAGATCAATCACTATAATATAAATATAATTAACATGCTTGTACATTAGAATAAAATATAATGTCCCTCCTTCCTCACCATGCAAAATGTTCTGGCAAAGAAAACAAAGTTGTTTACTTCTTTCTCTCAGTATTTCAAATTTATATAGATGTAGAGAATAAACCAAAATAAAATATCCTATATATGCTAATACTATTGAATGAAATTTTCAGTTAACATCATTTTTTTTTTTTAATTTAAAAGATCATTCATGGGATCCCTGGGTGGCGCAGCGGTTTGGCGCCTGCCTTTGGCCCAGGGCGCGATCCTGGAGACCCGGGATCGAATCCCACATCGGTCTCCCGGTGCATGGAGCCTGCTTCTCCCTCTGCCTGTGTCTCTGCCTCTCTCTCTCTCTGTGACTATCATAAATAAAAAAAAAAAAAAAAAAATTTAAAAAAAAAAAATAAAAGATCATTCATGAACAAGAAAAGTAAAAAGGGCTTAGTACATTATGCATAGTTACAGGTAATCTATATTTCCGTCTTGCTCACATATTTGTCAATAGTAACATCTTGTAAGGTTATATTCCATTTTTAGCTAGCTAGCCAGACAGACTGGTGAGCTCCTGGTTTTTAGTTGCCTGGGTGAATCATGTGTTTGTCAGCTTCCAATTGCCTGCCTTACTTGATAATGGCTTCTTCCAACAGGCTTGCTCTCCTTTAGGCCATAAATACCATTGTTGTAAAGGACACTGATGAGGAAATTTTTGTATATTCCTTGTCACTTCTTAAATTTTTCCTACTTGTCTGGGTGCTGTCTTTTACTGAAGAGTTACTATGCCAAGCATTGAGCACAATAATTTAAAGCTCAATAATTATCTGATTTTGTATGCTCAACCCTGAAGGTTTCTCTTTATTTTTTAAACAGGGTAGGAAATTGGAGCTCAAAGCCATAAATGACTAGCTCAAAATTACACAGCTAATATGTGGCAACCTGTTATGTGAACCTAGGTTAGCACTGACTCCAGAGGCAATAAACTGTTTCATTATGCTCCATGGCATCCAATAGGAAGACAGTGATTCTTAACAGTAATACACACATACTCTATTCTGATATGTTTTAACCTAGAAAGGAAACCAAACCAAAACATGACTCACTGATTAGATCAGTCTCTGCGATAGCTGAGTTCCAAGCTGTTCATCTCAAGGAGATACCTGACATAAGAGAAATATTGCATATGCCATGTTCAAATGTTAGACTTGGCTGCACTAACTGGAAACCCATAGGCAACATTAGATTCTCAAATAGGTTTGTCACATGTTTTAAAAAATTCTGAATATGAATTGCTTTAGGCAGGAATGCATTCTGCTATTCTCCCCATATTGTCTCACCCTCGGCCCACTTCTTTCAAATACATTATTTGCCTATTCCTTGTAGATACCTGAGATTTTAACAAATGCAGAAAATATAAAGCTGTTGAAAGTTTTCAGTGGGGGAGCAACACCATCGAACAGGCATTTATAAAGGATTTCTCTGGCTACAGCATGAATTGAAGGATGTTAGAAAACAAGAACCAGCTTCAGAAAAGATCACAGCTCTTGTAAAGGTTGAAAATGTGAACTGAGGTAATGGCAGTGGTGATGGAGAGGAAGAAACAAATTTGAAATAAGGAGGTGGAATTATGCAACTTAATGATTAATTAGCTGTGAAGAATTGAGAGTTAAAAAGGCTGACAGGGTAGCTTAGGCTACTGGGTAGCTTGCGTGTCATTAACCCAGAGCTGAAATGGATGTAAAACGTTTGAGAAATAAAAGGAATTCAGACCAGACCTGCTGAATTCAAAGGGTCCACAGCCTATGCAGTTGAAGCCGCTGAGATAGTAGGAAACATGGGTCTAAAACTTAGACAAGAAAGGTGAAAGCTGGCAGTCGCTGGCACACAGCCTGAAGTGAGTGTGCCCACGGAGAAGTGGAGGTTGAGGAGAAGGTGGAGCTGGAAGCCAATATTTAAGGTAAAAGGAAGGAGAAAGGAAGCAGTGACAGAGGAGGTCACATCGGGAGGAATACAGTCCAAAGGAACACAAATGGGGGAAAAATTGGCAAGACCCAGTCAGTATGTTGAATTAAAGCTCAAGAATTAAAGCAGTGTTCCCATTCCCTATCTCCACTGATTACAGAAGTGCACAGGGTGCTTAAAATTTTAGCTTTATCATCATAGTTTATTCTCACTGTCCTGTGAATTTTGTGAAGGCACAGTCATCATTTAAATGACTGAGTTATTTTAGCAAATCATAGTTTATATGTCCTCCTACAACTAAGGTTAAATTCATTTTACCAAAGTACACCTTGTACTTCTTGAGCTTTCTATATCTCTTGATCCTGGCTTACTTTCAAACGGAGTATCTGCTTTATGTGGAGCTACTTAGAGTGCTCATTAAAGCATAGGCACTGACAGTACTCTAGGGGCTGAGCTTCTAGTGTGCTGGTCAAAATGAGGCACATCAGGGCAGCAGCCTTGTATGCTCTCAAGGCCTCACCAGTCTATCAGGAAAGGTTCTTCCAGAATAGCTCTTTTAGCCTGTTCAATCTTCATTTGCTTATCATGTTTCTTTTTTTTTTTAAAGCTTTATTTATTTGTTTATGATAGACAGAGAGAGAGAGAGAAAGAGAGAGAGAGAGGCACAGACACAGGCAGAGGGAGAAGCAGGCTCCATGCCGGGAGCCTGATGCGGGACTCGATCCCGGGACTCCAGGATCGCACTCTGGGCCAAAGGCAGGCACCAAACCACTGAGCCACCCAGGGATCCCCGCTTATCATGTTTCTTCTACTGCCTTGTCTCCCTTTAAAAGTAGGTCTCAGAGTAATATATATGTATATATATACTTTTCTTCAAAGATGTGTTTATTTGAGGAAAGGGAGAGAGTAGTGGGAGGGGCAGGGGGAGAGAATCCTGAGGCAGACTCCCTGCTGAGCATGGAGGCTAATGTGATGTGGGGTTCAATCCCAGGAACCTTGAGATCACGACCTGAGCTGAAATCAAGAATTGGATGCTCAACTAACTGAACCACCCAGGTGTCCTTCAGTATAATTTTTACATCTAGCTGGTCTGGAAAGCTTTAAGGTGTCCAGGGTTTCTGCTAACTCACAACCTTTTTGTGAGTTAGGAACTGAGAGAGGAATTCTTTTGAATTCCAGGCTACTTACAGAATAAACAGTGAAGCTTTCCCCCACTGCATTAACGACATAATCTTTTTCCTGTACAATGATTTCCAAAAGGATAGCATATGTTGGAACTGATTAAAACAGTAAGATTCTTTTTTTTTTAAATTTATTTATTTATGATAGTCACAGAGAGAGAGAGAGAAAGAGGCAGAGACATAGGCAGAGGGAGAAGCAGGCTCCATGCACCGGGAACCGGACGTGGGATTCGATCCCGAGTCTCCAGGATCGCGCCCTGGGCCAAAGGCAGGCGCTAAACCGCTGCACCACCCAGGGATCCCAAACAGTAAGATTCTATACAAAGTTCATAACTGTACATCTTTTACTCACAATTCCATGACAATCTTTGCTACTAGGAATGGAGATCCATTAGGTCTGTTCTAGTTAAGAACCTGTGTTGATATTATTCCATTATTAACAACAGTGATAACAATAACGACTCAATTGTTCCTGGAAGCACAATAGATTTTTCTGCTTCATTTTATAATAAGAAAAAAAAGCATCTTTGTCTATGTGTAGTAAGTCAAATATTCAGACAGCAATGACACTAGCTGTCTCAAGACCCTCATGACTGTTTTGTTTACTATTTTTTAATAGAAAAGGCACAAGACTAAGGCTCTAATTCTGGCTCTTCCAACAACATGGTTCATTATGCCTTAAATTCTTTTTTGGTAGTACTGACAGAATAAACAAAGACATGAGCAGGTTGGATTCTTATTTCCTGTTGGTTTGATTCTTCTACCACAGAATTCCTACCTGCACTATTCTTGTTATAAAATGAGGCTATAGGATAAATGAGGTAATTAATATGCAATATCAGAGAACTC